AAAAAGCAGGTGCAGGCGTTTTTGGGACTCGTGAACTGGGACCGAAGGTTCATCGAGAATTTAGCAAGATGGACGAAACCCATCGAAAGGCTATTGCAGAAGAACGTTCGATTCGTATGGACGGACGTGAAACACGAAGCGTTTGAGGGGATAAAGAGCGCGTTTGAGCAAGCAGACGACCTCTATCTCATCCAGCCAGGATATAGATTCGGCGTATATGTAGATGCCTCGAAGGATGGACTAGGGGCAAGACTATACCAATATCGCGAGGGCGAAGAAGAAGGCTATACTGTGGCATACGCCAGTCGTAGCGTTAAGGGAGCTGAATTAAATTATACGATAACGGAGTTGGAGTGCCTAGCTATCGTGTGGGCGTTGCGAAAGTGGCACACCATGCTGCTAGGACGCCACGTGCGCGTCCACACCGACCACAAAGCACTCAAGTTTTTAGAAACCTGTGTGACAAATAATACAAGAATCGCAAGATGGTTCACATTTCTTCAGGAATTTGAATTGGAAATTGTACACGTAGAAGGCAAGCTAAATAATCAAGCAGACGCACTGTCAAGGATGATGGCAGGGGCAAACAATGGAACCCAACCCGACGCGAGAATCGCAATAATCCAAGACGTAGCAGACGGCGTGGATACGGCAGAATGGATACCGATAATCCGAGAAGCGCAGGAGAGGGACGACCAGCTGAAGGAAGCAGCGAGGGAGTACCCCGGGACAGTCTACATACGAGATGGATTATATCGGGTGAAGAACGAAGCGGAAACGAGCGACAGAGTGACGTTACCAAGGGATGTAACTTGGAGAATCACTCGACAAGTCCATAGATTACTATTACACTTTGGAACTGACAAGGTAATAGGCTTCATAAATAAATACTTTCATGCGTTCAATATCGCAAAAATTGCGAGGGATGTCGTGGCATCCTGCCACGCGTGCATGGCAACCAAATATTACTCAAGGGCCACAGAGGGTCAACAATACTATGAATTACCGGAGGGGCCACGGATCAAGATATCGTTGGACATATTCGGGTCACTACCGAGAACGAGAGGCGGTGACAAATACATATTGGTAGCGATGGACCATTTCAGCAAGTATGCCAAGATGTACCCAATGCCTAACCAGACTTTGGAGACGATAATGGACGTGTTGTGGGAGCAATATTTCCCAGAGGTGGGAATTCCGAAAACTGTGCTTACCGATAACGGGGGGCAGTTCAACACGCCAAGATGGACGCAATTTGCGGAAGAAGGCGGATTCGAGATTGTCAAGACAGCGCCTTACAATCCACAATCCAACCCAGTTGAGAGGGTTATGAGAGAGATAGGAAGGGTTATCCGAACGTATGCGAGCGATAGACACAATACGTGGGATCGGATAATACCGAGATTGCAAATAGTGATAAACGCGACGGAGCACGCCAGTACGGGCTATGCACCGGACGTGTTGCACAGAGACTCAACTAAATATCCACCCGGATCTCAAACCGACAGAGACACGTGGATTGACACGTGACGAACGAATCGCGAGAGCGCGAGAAAACTTGCGAATTGCAGCGCAGAAAAGGCTTAAGCAGTTCGAAAAAACTACAACAGCACCGGAATACCGAGTGGGGGACCTAGTATGGTGCAAACTCCACAGGAGATCGGATGCAAACTGGAGGCTGACGAGGAAAATTCATTTGGTGTATAGAGGGCCATACAGAATCAGACAAATTGTAAGAAGAAACGCGTACGAAGTCGAGGATATGAACGGAACATCCATCGGCGTGTACAACTCAAGGCAATTGAGGCCACACCGAGAAGCAAGACTAAGGGAACAGGACGAGAGAGCGCCAAGGATGGCACCGATGCAACTCAACCTGATCGATTTGACTAGAGAAGATGAGGAACCACAGCCAGGACCAAGTAGGATCCAAAAGGGCGGTGAAAAAGTTGAAGGGCTCGAAGAAACAGCGGTAAAACGACCGAAAACTCAAAATCGAAACAGAGGAAGGTCGAC